GGGTTTAGGGTTTAGGGTATGGAATATACACCCTACATAACATTAGGTCTTCCAAAAGCCCCTTAAGTTATGGAAAATATCCTACATAACATTAGGATCCCTAAAATGACGTATAAGGTATAAGCCATAACTAAGGTTTTTTTGGGAAATCTGGGTGACTGGGGGAGTGCGGCAGGTGGTGAGGGGGTTTATGGGTTGAGGGTGTAGGGGGTTTAGGGGGTTTAGGGGTTTAGGGCTTGGGGTTTGGAGTGCGCGTTGTCGCTGCATCCACTTTGAGTCTGGATGCTGCCCGAAACCCAAAATCAAACCCTACCCCAAACTCTAAACCCTAATCCCTAAACCCCAACCTCTAAGCCTTAAACCCTAAACCCTAAACCCCAGACTCCACACCCGGAGCCCTCGACGCTCTCAGCACTAGGCTCGGAGCCCTACACCCGGCTCCGAATCCTCCGAATCCGCTGTGAGGGCTGTTTGGGTTCATTAAGGGTTCATCATAAAGGTTTACGGGAACCGTAACAAGGGTACTTTAAGGCTTCAGGGGTACCGGAATAAGGATACTTTAAAGCTTTAGGGGTTTAGGTTTTCGATCTTTGGCTTTGGGGCCGCCAGGTTGTAGTCTGAGCTTTACAAGCACAAATCCTTCAAGACAACAATACAAATCCATACAAACTCTAGTGGAAGCCATAATATAGGTAGTTTTCTAAATTAGGGTCCCTTGCAGGGTCCTTTTTGGGGACCCTAGAAGGGACTGCTATTTAGAGAACTACCCATATAGCAAACTACTCATGGCACAAGCAGTAGCACTACGAACAAGGACAACATTCGCAAATAGCAGTAGCACACATAGTGGCAAGAACGACACTTGTGTGCGCATGAAGGCTTCTAAAGTAGGTTTAGACAACAGATTGAGCAGGCGGGTGTGGGCCCTTCGACTTCAAGTGCTTTGAACTTAGGTTTTAATGCATAGGTTTTAGGGTTTAAGGTTTAGGGGCTTGGGCTTAGGTTGTGTTTCTCTGCCGGGGCAGAAACGAAGGCAATCGCAAAAGCAAGGAGAATAATAGCAGTAGCCCTAAACCTCAGCGCCCTGACTCCTTCAAGTTCTACACCCTCCTCAAACACAGACAGCGGGGCGGTACCTTGATAATGAGTAGGGCTTCTATGTGGATCCGTAAGAGTTACCACACGGGGATCCGTGTCCTATAGGGCCTTGATCAATTAGAATTTGTTTTGGGGCATAGCCTGCAACGAAATCTGATAGGCACACTGAGAACTGGTATTGGCAATCATTTAGGCTTGTTTGTTCGTCTTAAACCCTAGACGACCCAAACCCTAACCCTCACTAAACCTTCTTAGAAGGTCTAGTGAGGGTTAGACCTTTTATCAAATCCTAACCCTCACTAAACCTTCTATTGACCCTACATGCCTACTGAAAGGATCATGGGACTTAGCAACTAGGGTTATACATAAGGTAACTCTACAAAGAATTACTTAAAACCCTAGTTAAGGTACTAAACCCTAAACCCTAAACCCTAAGGTACTTAGAACTGTACTTACTGAGTCTAGCGATCCTTGGAGTAAGAATTCTCCGGTGCTGCGCCTGTGTCTCGCAAGCCCCCCCGAAGGTGCCGAAGAGCTGGATCTGGCCGCCGAGCCTGAAGGTAATATAGAGGCCTTAATAAGGGTTCCTTGAAGGGCTACTATAGGGGTTTAGGGTTTAGGGGCCTTAATAATTAGAACAGGGTTTTGGGGGCCCATTATACTATAAGTATAAGAAGGAACCCCCCAAAACCCTATTCTGATTATTAAGGCCCCTACAGTAGTCTTCGGGAAAGCCCCTTCTATCGTCTGCGCCCCTGTCTCCAGAAGCTGCATCCAACCACAAACAATCGTCATCTGGCGATGAGAAAGCAACGAGGCCTGTGCAGGACAAGCAACATATATAATAACACTAGTAAAAGTACTCTCAACCCTAAACCCTAAACCTGTAAAAGGGTTTCCTTACAGGACTCCGCTCAAATGGCCCTAAGCACAGTCCCTTTATCCGGATCAGACCAGTTTGGGGCTCTCACCTCCTGGGACTGCTTTCTTAGACGGTCTTCTTCGGGGTTTGGGGTTTAGGGTTCAGTTTTTAGGGTTTAGGGTTTAGGGTTTCGGGTTTAGGGTTTAGGGGTTTCAAGCAAGAAGGTGTGGAAGGTTTCAAGGCTCAGGGCTGTCTTAGGATTAGGCTTCTAAGGGTCTTGTAAGTGTTCATAAACCCAAAACCCTAAATCCCAAAAAAAAACCAAAACCCCAAAAAACCCAAACCCCTAAACCCACAACCGGTAAACCCTAGCGCTGAATCACAAGCTGAGTGCTTCGGAGAGGTTGGACGGTGTTTCGAGGTTTAGGGCTTAGAGTTTTATGGTTTGGAGGTTTTAGGGTTTCAGGGTTTAGGGCTTTAGGGCTTTAGGGTTTAAGCTTTGGGGTTTAGGGCTTAGGGGGAAGGAATACCAACCCACCAAGGCAAGCACACGCACTTACGCACGATGAACCCGGTGTCTAATACTGTTGATCCGGCTGCAGATCCTCCACTCTGAACTAAACCCCAAACCCTAAACCCTAAAAGTTCACTAAAGCTTGCATGCCAACCTTCCCACGGCCCTCAATCCCAGGGCCCGAAACCCAACAACTCCAGGACCCCTAAACCCCAGGGTTTAGGGTTTAGGGTGAAGGCTGACACAAGAAATAGAAAAGGCAACTGGAGCTGTGACTATGGATCTCGGGGATTCGTCACTACCCCTAAACCCTAAACCCTAAACCCTAAACCGTGCAACACCCTTCACTCCTAAACCCCTAACGGCCCACTCCCCAGAGCCGAATCCCAGGCCCTGAATCCCAAACCCTGAAGCCTGAGCCCCTAAGCCTGAGCCCCAAAAGCCAAGACCCTAAAGCCTAAACCCTAAAGCCTGAGCCCCGGAGCCTAGATAAACCCCCCTGCTTGGAGGTTCATGGGACTTAGTACGTGCAGTTATAACTACCTTACTTGGGGGTTTATAAGTAGTTATAACTATAGCTACCCTATTTATAACCCTAGCTACTCAGTCCCATGAACCACCAAGTACACCCTCCAGCCTCCCTAAACCCTAAACCCTAGACCCTAAACCCCTAAAACCTACACCCCAAACCCTAAACCCTAAAACCTAAGCCCTAAACCCTAACCCTAGACCCTAAACCCTCTCAACCTCAAAGAGCAGCCCGGAGGCAAGAAGTGCGCCATGAAAGCGAGCATGAGGAAGAGGATGGTGAACACCAGGAAGAAGTGAAGCATGTTGAG